AATATATGATTAGGGATTTGAAATAAATCAGTGTGTGTGTGTGTGGGGGGGGCAAGACAGAGAAAATAAAACATGAGAGGCAATGAGACCTAACAAATTTGTAATATAATGGGGGGGTGCCAGCAAGGGTGTGGAGAAAGGTGAACCCTGGTGCTCTGTGGCTGGGGATGTTAACTGGTGAAGTCACCATGGAGAACAGTATGGAGGTTCCTCAGAAACCTGACTAGAACTGCCCTGTGGTCCAGCAATTCCGTTTCTGGGTATTAACCTGGAGAAAACTAAATTGCTGTCTCAAAAAGATATCTACACCCCATGTTGATTGCAGCATTATTTACAATAGTCAAAACCTGGAAACAACCCAAGTGTCCGTGGACACATGTATAAAGAAGATGTGGTACAGCCCCGTCCGGGTAGCTCAGTTGGCTGGAGCAGCACCCCAGTGCGCCAAGGTTTTGGGTTAGATCCCAGATAGGGGCACATATAGGAATCAACCAATGAGTGCATGACAAGTGGGACCCCAAGCCTGTCTCTCTCTTTCTCTCTCTAAAAATCAAGAAAAAAGAAAAAAAAGAAGTGGTACATATATACAACAGAACAGCATTCACCATAAAAAGAAGGGGATTCTGTCCTTTGTAACAACATGAATTAACCTTGAGAGCATTATGCTAAGTAAAATAAGCCAGAGAAAGACAAGTACTATGTGATCTGCCTCTATGTGGATCTAAAAAACAAAGAAACCCAAATTCATAGATACTGAGAACAGATTAGTGATGTCAGAGGGAGACAGGGTGGGGGTGGGGGTGAAATGGGTGAAAATCAAAAGGTCCAAAAAGGTCAAACTTCTATTTATAAGATAAATAAGTTCTGGGGGTATAACAGACACACCGTGGTGATTAGAATTAACAATACTGTATTGTATATTTGAAGTTTGCTAAGAGAGTAGATCTTAAAAGTTCTCATCAGGAGAAAAAAAGTGTGTAATTGTGTGGAGATGGATGTTAATTTACGGTGGTGAGCATTTCATAATACCTACGCGTATCAAACCACGGTGTAGCACACCTAAAACGGTACAATATTTTATGTCCGTGGTATCTCCATGAATTAAAAGGGGAGTTTAAATTTCAGTAACAGCTGGGTATATTTGGAAAAATTTTCTATTCAGTCTCGGGAATTAAGGCAGGTGTCGATTCTCACATCAGAATCGAATGTAAAAAACATTGTAAGCAGTTCTGGAAACTGGTTTTCACATGAAACAATATGTTGCAATGGATTTTTGTACCTTTTGTAAACTAGTTACAGTAACAAAATTGTAATAGGTTTTCGTTTTATTTTTTTCTTTATTGATTTTTTTTTATTTTTTATCCTCACCCGAGGACATTTTTCCATTTTTTGTTCAGGTAGAGTGGGAGGGAGAGAGAGGAACAGAGAGAGAGAGAAACATCGACGTGAAAGGAACAATTGAGTGGCTGCCACCCGCACGACCGACCAGGGCCGGGGACAAACTGCAACCGAGGTACATGCCCTTAGCGGGAACCGAACCCGGGTCTCTCAGGGCCGCAGGCCGACGCTCTAACCGCTGAGCCAAACTGGCCAGGGCTCTTTATTGATTTTAGAGGAAGGGAGAGGGAGAGACAGAAACATCGATGAGAGGGAACATCGACTGGCCTCCTCCTGCACGCCCCCCACTGGGGATCGGGCCCACAACCTGGGCATGTGCCCTGGCCGGGAATCCAACCGGCGACCTCTTAGTGCAGGGTGGACGCTCAACCACGGAGCCACACCGGCCAGGCTTAATAGGTTTCGATCAAAATGAAGGTAGGAAAAAAAGGTGGGCATTCGGTCTCGTCACTTCTGCAGGGGACGTGCTGGTGCATAGCTCAGTGGCTCCGGTGAGGGTGAGCCCAGGTGAGGAGCCCCGTGGAGGCCTCTGCAATTCCAGCTCGGGGTTCCAGAGCCAGTGGGCACAGGGAGCAGAATACACAGGAGTTAAGAAGTTTAAAGAGATGAATGGCCATCTGGATATGAAAACGTTCCTCATTGTGAGCTCAGTGAAGTTGAGAAAGGTTTGCTGCGATCTACCTTGCCTTTCTGATGCATCAGAATTAGAAGAAAACGTACAGCCATTCTTTTTTTTAGCCTGCGTAGCAAATAAAATTGCATCTCAAAGACGTGCCGCATTGCTTGGCTCACAAGCTTGGAGTCTGTCTGGGTTCTGCTGTGACCAGTGTCCAGCTCTGCTGGCGTTGCATGCAGGACGGTGGGAACTCCTCGAATAGTCTTACATGTGCCAAGAGTTGCTTTTCAAGCCCTGAACTCAGTGTGTAGAACTATGTTGGTCTATAACTAAATAATCCCAATGTGTTGTTGTTATTGTTGTTTTTAATTAGTGTGTGTGTTACTTACTTATTTTTGAGGAAGACAGGGAGAGAGAGAGAAACATCAGTTTGTTTTTCCACCCCTTCACGCATTCCTCGGTTGCTTCTTGTATGAGCCCAGATGGAGATCGAACCCACAACCTTGGTGTCATTGGGACGATGCTGTCACCAACGGAGCTACCCGGCCAGGACTCAATGTTCTTTTTTCCAGCTCCCTTCCTGCCTAATGGTAGAACACGTAGTCTAGTTAATTCCGAGTAAATCAGTCTCTTCATGGTTTTTCTTGACCAGTTCAGACCTCAACCAAGTCAGTTCTCGGTCTCCTCCTCCTCCTCGGGCGGGAACCTGCCTCCAGGCACGGCACTCAGGCGCCAGGGAACATTCCTCTGGCCCTCCCCTCCCCCTCCCCTGCCCCGACTCCATTCCATCCTCCTGGCCCAGAGAACTCCTCGGGGGCTCCAGGGTGCTGGGCTGGAGACAGAGAACCTCCTCTGTTCTTAGATCTCCCCCACCTTCCCAGAGACTCTTGTTGCTTTCCCCATCTCACCGCTTGGATCCCACCGGGCGGTGAACAGTCTCGCTCAGAACTCCATCAGCATCTCCGGTCTCCACCCTGGAATTTCTTCCTCAACTCCTATGAGGATCTTTTATTTTTTTTTTAATTGTTTTTTTCTTTATTGATTTTAGAGAGAGTGGAAGGGAGAGGGAGAGAGAGAGAGAAACATCGATGAGAGAGAACATCGACTGGCCGCCTCCTGCACGCCCCCCACTGGGGATCGGGCCCACAACCTGGGCATGTGCCCTGAATGGGAATCTAATCGGCAACTTCTTGGTGCAGGGTCGACGCTCAACCACTGAGCCACACCAGCCGGGCCTCAAATAAATTATAAAAAAATTCCCTTGTGTATCAAACTTAGAACATTTAAAATATACTATGTTACACTGTCATATCTCTGTATGTCTTGGATCTATAAAATGTTCTCTCTGAGCAGGGCCATCTTTATTATTTATTTATTTATTTTACAAAATAAACATGGCTTTTTGTCTAATTGTAAATTTTCAGAGGGTCATTTTGAGGCATATTTGCTTTGTAATCATTAGGTTTATATCTCTGCAAAATATCACAATAGAGAAATTTATGATTGGGGCCATAAAACAGTGAATGACACAATGAAGTTCCCTTTTCTATTTACCATGTAACATTGGCCAATTAATTCTTCTGGAGCTCACATGTGTTTCCGGCCACTGAGAGAGAATCCAGCTTCTTTCTCCCAAGTATGTTTTGATAATTAAATAAAATTTAAATCAAGTTCTTTTGTACTGCTTTAGAAAGTTGGCTATTTCTGTCTTTATCACTATTGCAGAATTGAGACCCTGAGAATACAGGGCTGAAGGGCAGGAGAGAAATAGAAAAGCCCTTACATTCCGTAAAATACAACGAGGAAGCCCTGGCCGGGGTGGCTCAGCGGTTGAGCGTTGGCCTGAGAGTCCTGGGTTCGGTTCCCCCTAGGGGCACATACCACACACACACAAAAAAATTACAGTGGGGAAGACAAAACAAGGAAAGACACATCAAGGGTATTTTAGCTCTTAAATTAGTAACAATGAGTCCAGTTCTCTACATTTCCATTTCTCATCCTTTGTCCACAAACAGCTTTACAGGACTTCACGTCTTGCCAGTTTCAGTAGGATCTTTGCAAATTTCGTCTTGCTCGGTTCCAGGTGATCTACCTGTTATAAGAGCTTTGTTCCTTGAGTCTGGCTCTCTCCAAATGCTTAAAGCTTTTGTTTTTCCATCTTATGATTCTAAGAGATTGCAGCTTCTCGTCTCCTAGATTCTGCCCCTGGATTCTGCTCTTTTCCCCAGAGGTAGAGTGACTTGGATGGTTCGAGTGGAAAGGCTTGGGTGGTGTGTTCTCGTCTGCTCCCAGCCCTGCTCAAACCCTCTTCAGTGCCCAGGGGTGTCCAGTCATAATCACGGCCACACCCAGATATCCTGGTGCCAGGTGCTCCCAGCTCCCTGTCCCTGCACAACAACTTTAGTGCACGTTTAACCTGTGTGCTCCTATCTTTGTATTTCTGCCTGCCTGCCTGCCTGCGGATTTTCCTCCATTCTCCTCCTCTTCCTCCCCCTCCCCCTTCCCCTCCTCCTCCCCCCTCCCCCCCCTCCTCCTGCCTTAAATAAAGTTCCTTTCTTTTTCTAAATACAACAGGAATGGTCAGCCCCTGCTTTGAGCCTGAGGCGATGTTCTCGGATGCTACAGTGGCACCCAGGTGAAAACCCACCGACCTTAGATCATGCAGGAATATGCATATAGTTGAGAAGAGATTTCTGCACTTTTTTTTTGTTTTTTGTTTGCACCCCCAGGAACGTAATCTAAAAACCTCTAATAGAATTGAATCCTGCTCTTATTGGAGGAAAGGAACAGGATCTGATGGGAACAGGAAATAAAAAAAAAGCCAAGAATCTGAAAGGAAGTCAGTCCATGAAAAGGACTTTTCGTGTTATTTTTTAACTAAAGAAATGGACTGTGTCCCAAACACGGAAGGAAATAAGTAAGGCAAACAGTTATTGGGGGGGATGATGGTGCCTCCATGGCAGCCCCCATTTTTCGGAGGATGTTGCTACTTATTTCTTCCTACGGGCGATGCGCGGTCCTTTGCCCTCCGAGGATGAGGGTCCGAGTCCTGCTGGCGCGCGGGACTGTCCTTGGCCAGCACGATTTCGTCCACAGTGGCGAGCTGCAGCACCACCTCTGCCGCCGTGCGAAGTCCTCGGGCTTTGGTCGCCAGGGCGTCCCACACCCCTTCCTGGGCCACGTTGATCACCCCTTCCGGCCCCACTCCCGCCAGGCAGTGCCCAGCTTGGTGAGAGGCCGTCATGTCTGCCATCCCGGCGGAGACCGCCAAGCCCGCGTTCTCCGCCAGGGCTGCAGGAAGGGACCGCAGGGCCTGGGCAAAGGCCAGGAGCGCGGGCCCAGTGGGCCCTTCCAGCGCGGAGCCTTTGTCGGCCAGCAGCTTGGCCAGGGCCATCTCCGCGGCCCCCGCCCCCGGAAGCAGCCTGGGGTCCTGGCACAGCTGGGAGAAGGCATCGATGCCGTGGTAGACGGCCTGCTCTGCCCCCCGGAGCCCCTCCTTCGTGGCCCCCCTGAGGACCAGGGTGAGGGCAGGGGTGCCCGCAGGTTCCCATTGGAACACCACCGCCAGGCCTTCCCCCAGCTCCTGCGGGTACACCTGCTGGCATTTCCCTGGCTCCTGGGGAGCAACCAGGTGAGGCATCAAAGGGGTGCCCAGCACCTCGCTCAGGAAGACCAGCTCCCGCAGCGACTTCACTTCAATCACCATGATGCCGTACTTGTCCGCCTGCGAGAGACTCTTTTCCTCGATGTCCCCCCGCACCACCGCCACGTTAACCCCCGCGGCGGCCAGCTGGGCCACCTGCCTCTCTATCAGGATGTCGCTCCCTGTCCTGAAGCGAAGGAGGTCGGTGGGACTAGAGAGCCGGGCCTTGGAGGGCGCCTTGGGACAGGCGGGGCCAAAGGCGCAGTCAAAGAGAGCCACCCTGGCGCCTCTCTGCACCATGGTCACCTGGCCGCGGGGCGTCCCGCGCACGGCCAGCCCCGGGAGCAGGCACGAGTCCTCCAGCTGCCCCCCCTGCACCACGCACACCCCCACCTGCTCCGGGCGGAAGGTGCCGTCCAGCTCCTTGGCCGACCAGCATGCTTGGGCCACCAGCTTGGTCAAGTATTCCGCGTGGGACAGAGTGTGCGTATTCATCACCGAATGGAGGGCCCAGAACGGGTCTTCCAAAGGCCCCAGCGAGCGGACGGCCAGCAAGGGCAGCAGGGCCAGGGTCTCTGCGGTGGCCGCGGCGTAGGCCTCCCGGAGCTGGGCTCGGGGCAGGCCGGCCTGCAGCAGGCGCTCGGCCTGTGCCAGCAGGGCCTCTGCCAGCAGCACCACGAAGGCCACTCCGTCACCGCTGTGCTGGGCCTGGCTGAGGGCCGCATCCCGCAGGAGCCGGGCGGCAGGGTGCTCCAGGTCCAGGGCCCCGAGGATGGCCGTGGCATACCCAGTGAAGACGGTCTCTCCCTTGGCGGTCACCAGGAGCTTCTGGAGGCCGTGGGGGCCGTAGCAAGGCCGGATGATCCTGGCCAAGGTGTGGGCCGCGGCCAGGCTGCTGAGAAGGTGCTTCTCTTCTGCTGCTGAACCGCTGGGGCCCGGCCAAAGCCGCTGGGGCAGCTCCTGCGGGGAGGGGGCCCCACTGTCCATGGCCCGCAGAGAGGGGCCCACCGGGCTGCAGGGACACTTCAGACACAGCAGCGGGGCCAGACACTGACTTTTAAAGCTACGTAAGGGGTCAGTGGACAAAAGGGCCACCACCTTGTGTCTGGGGGCTTCTGCCCTCCAGGTTCAGTGCAGGGATGACCTGCCGAGAGCACGGGCCCAAGGCCACCCCAAAGTGATCTGTACAGGAACCAGGCTCTAGGGGCCTCTGACGCTTCGTAGTCGGAAGGATCTTATCTTGATGACCTCACAGAGTGGCACATGGAACCAGGAGCAGGGAATGAGGTCACAGAAGGAGGGCCTGCAGGTGGCTGAAGTCAGGCCTGGCTGTCCAGCAGATGAGGGACACGCCTCTGCCCCCCGCCCCAGAGTTTCGTTTAACTTTGGAGACTGTGCGGAGACAATGAATCAGATGGAAAGACCCACCCACTTCAAATTCCTGCTGAAGCGGCCGAGCTGTCCGCCTGGGAGGGGCTCAGTGCAGCCCTCACGGCCGAGGAGAACCATGTTTGTCATCTGTCTGCTCTGCCTCCTTGGCCACCTTATCCAGCTGTGCTGCTCATCAGCCTCCTTCAGAAGTCTGTTGGTCTGTTTGTCTTTCAGCTTGCAGGTGTGTGAGGCCACAGCTCCTCCCAATGACAGTGATGTCACTGAGCTGGCAAAGGCGGGGAGGGAAAGATGCGGACAGGCCCCCACACAAATAGAAATGGACTCAGAGGAGTGAAAGGCCCAGCCTCCCCGTGGTCAGGGAGGTAGAAAACCAATGTAAATGGAGTTGCCCCCCCCCCAGGTACATTTCTTCCTCTCATCCCCCCTCCCTCCCTCGCTCCCTTTCCTCATACAGAGCCTACTGGAGTAATGATTGCTGCTTCTTCGGTTTGACAAATATTTACTGAGCACCCATAATGTACAATATCACGAGGAAAACAGAGATGAGAGGACTATGGAGACCGGCAAGGGAGGGATTGTTACCAAATGAACACACCTTTCCACCGGTGTTAGGCTGGCATCAGCTCGGGGGGATGAATACATCTTTCTTTCTTTAATTTAGAGGGAGAGGAAGGGAGAGAGAATGAGAGAGAAACATCAGCCTGTTGCTGCACTTATTTATGCATCCATTGGTCAATTCCAGTATGTGCCCTGACCGGGGATCAAACCCGCAGCCCTGGCGTATGAGGACGACGCTCCAACCAACGGAGCCGCCTGGCCAGGGCTGAGTATCCCTATTGAGATTAGGGGAAAGATAGAGCGATATCATTCATTTTCATCGGGGGGGGGGGAACCCCACCCCTTTTACTTTGTTTAATGGCAGATGTTCCAAAGGGAAAAAAATAGAACTCTGAAACCGATGGGAATAGCCAGGAGTCGGGACCGCGCGGCAGACATCGTCTTAGTGTGTCCACAGGCAAGACTGTAGTGAGAAAGAAAAGGACAAAATTACAGTGAATGCGAAATAGAATTAAGGCTAAAGGGATAATTTTGGAGAAAAAAAATTTCCCCTTAAAAACACAACTTGATTGCTTTTTATAAAAATGATAGTTATTCATTATAAAAGTTAAAAAGAAAAATACAGCCCTGGCCAGTTTGGCTCAGCGGTTAGAGCGTCAGCCGGCAAACCGGAGAGTCCCGGGTTCGGTTCCTGCTAAGGGCACGTACCTCGGTTGCAGTTTGTCCCTGGCCCCAGTTGGGGTCCGGTGGGTAGCATCCAGCGAAAATGTCCTCGGGTGAGGATAAAAAAAAAAGTCGCAGTTTGGATTCCCAGTCAAGGGTACCTAGCTGGGTTGCAGGGTTTTGTTTTTTGTTTTCTTTTAAAATCCTTACTGGAGGATATTTTTCCATCTATTTTCAGAGTGGGAGGGGGAGATGGGGAGAGAGAGAGAGAGAGAGAGAGAGAGAGAGAGAGAGAGTCATTGAGGTGAGAGGGATACATTGACTGGTTGCCTCCCGTGTGACACCGACCAGGGCTGGGATCCGAACCGCAATCGAGGTATGTGCCCTTGACTGGAATCAAACCTGAAGACTCTTTAGTCCGAGGGCTGACACTCTAACCGCTGAGCCAAACCGATCAGGGCTGGGTTGCAGGTTTGATCCCAGACCTTGTTCCGGTCGGGCGAGAGGCAACCAATCAATGTGTCTCTCTCACATTGATGTTTCTCTCTCTCTCCCTCTCTCCCTCCTTTCCACTCTATCTGAAAATCAATGGAAAAATATCCTTTGCTGAAGATTAACAACAACAACAAAAATAGGTTAAAAAGAAAAATACAAAGAAAGCAAATGGGGATGTGTAAAGTACATCATAGGGAATATAGTCAATAATACTATAATAACTATAAATGGTGCCTGGTGGTCACTGGACTTATTAGGAGATCGCTTTGTAAATTATGTGTCACCATGATGCTGTGCACCTGAAACTGATATAAAATAATATTGAATGTCAATTGTAATCGACAAATTAAAAAAAAGAAGGAGCCCTGGCCAGTTTGGCTCAGCAGTTGGAGCATCGGCCTGCAGATCAGAGAGTCCCGGGTTCGGTTCCCGCTGGGGGCACCTACCAAAAATAAATAAATAAATAAAGGAAGGAAGGAAGGAAAGTAAATGTTTTTGGAATCCCAGCCCAGAGGTAATCCTTGTTTGCATTTTGGTGAACATGATTACTTTATACATATACATACAAAGGGAGTTGTGGACTGACACAGTTTTGCAGAATTGGGTTGTACGATACCTTGTATATGCCATTCTGTAATCATTTCCCCCTCAACATTATCTTGGCTGAGAGAAATGTTTCTAAGCAGGTAGTATGTGGTCTGAAGATTGTGGAAGACGAACAACATAAAATGTAGCCACGTATGCATGTATACAGTATTTGTAAAGATACAGTTTCTTTTTAAAAGTTAAACACTCCTGTGAAGGATCGTCTTAGCCCTTTCTCGTAACGCTTAACATATGTTTTCCCATTTATTTCACTTATTCCACAATTATTTACTGAGCTGCTGCTGAGTAAGAGGTAAAAGGGGAATGTCTCCACGGGGCTTAGGGTGGGGTACAGACAGCTCATCGGCAGTTCGTTACAGGCCAGGGGAGCGGCGAGGGGTAAAGCGCAGGTGTTGCAGAAACATCCAGAGGAACACAGAACCATTACCATTGGGAGAGCAGTGGTCCGGGACGGAACCGAAGTCTACAGAGAGCTGAAGGGAAAAGTGAAGGAGGGGTTGGGACCACCTGGTAAAGGGTGTTCTCCACCACAAGTCGTCCTGGAGGCTGGAGCTCACGGTGAGGACGGAGGGAAGGGGCTGGAAGGAGATGACCGGAGGAGGCCGGGGGCTCTCCAAGACCCAGAGAGCCATGCCGAGGACTTCAGATTTCAACCTGAAGGGTGACTGATGGGACTGAGTCCCATTTCCATTGTAAAAGTGTGTAGTTTTCTGTTGTGAAACCCTCACCTGTTTGAGTACCCAGCACAGGGGAAAGGGACAATCTGACCCATCTCTGACCCGTAAAGACAGTCCGTCTCATTAAATAGGCCCCAAATGGTACATTCTGGACTGGCTCCCTCCTCCCCCTATCTTTACACAAACAAACTAGCCAAGGAACTACTAAATCTCAATTTTACTATGTGGACACAGTCATTGTTAAATTCACTTGGATTTTATTTATCCTTTAGATTGATTGATTAGATGTAAAAGAAATGCAAATACAAATTTTTTTTTTTATCCTCACCTGAGGATATTTTTCCATTTTTTGTACAGATAGAGTGGGAGGGAGAGAGAGGAAGAGAGAGAGAGAGAGAAACATCGACGTGAAGGGACACATCGAGTGGCTGCCACCCGCACGACCAACCAGGGCCGGGGACAAACTGCAACCGAAGTACGTGCCCTTAGCGGGAACCGAACCCGGGTCTCTCCGGACCGCAGGCCGACGCTCTAACCGCTGAGCCAAACTGGCCAGGGCGCAAATACAAATTTTTTTTTGTGTGTGTGTGTGTCCAGAAGAGTTCGCATGCAGTTAACCCATTTTATAGAAATTTCCAACGGCACACGCTTTGATCTGCTAAGACGGGCAGGCACAATGGAGGCCGTTTGTTCGGTAGTTACAACCTTCCCGGGACCGGAGAATGTGACCTTATTTATAGAAAGGATTGCTGCAGATAGAATTGATTAAGATAAGGTCATACTGGAGTAGGGTGGATCCTGAATCCAATATGCCTGGTGTCCTTACAAGAACAGGAGACACACACACAGAACACCATGTGGGGACACAGACGCACAGACAAGATGACCACGTGATGTTGGAGGCAGACATTGGAGTGATGCACTGACGAGCCAAGAATGCCAAGGGCTGTGGACAACCACCGGAAGCCAGGAGAGGGACATGGAACAGGTTCTCCCTCAGAGCCTCCAGAGGAACTAGCTCCGCGGACACGTCGATTTTGGACTCCTAGCTGACGGAATCAGGAGAGAGTGACCTGTTGTTCAAAGTCATCCAGTTGGTGGTCGTTTGGTGCAACAGCCCTAGGAATTTATAGTCTTTTGTATCAATGGAGAGGAGTCTAAGAAAGTGTATGTGTATGTGTGTGTGTGTGTGTGTGTGAGAGAGAGAGAGAGAGAGAGAGAGAGAGAGAACCCATTTCTGGGAGTTTGTAACACTTGCCAGCAGAATGTTCCCTAGACCACCCTCTTGTGAATACACATACTCTCTGCTGACTTGTCGTACCTCCGCCCTTCCCCCAACCCCCAGATGCATTTCTTTGAAAACTATGGTCTCATACACAATGGATATAAATATTTAATCTTTCTATTTACACGTTTTTCCATGTGTATTTTTCAGTTGCCTGCTTGTTCCTGTGTGTTCACCTTGTTGAGTGGTGCCAGGCCTCGTGCTCACCGCTAGAGGGTAAGATTCTTATCTAGCTGAACCCTGTAGAGAAGGCCTACTTACTCATGCCTCATACTCTTAAAAACATTATTTTCTCTTTTATTGATTTTTAGAGAGGAAAGGAGAGAAACATTGATGAGAGAGACCATCTATTGGCCACCTCCTGGGGATCTGGCTCACAACCTGGGCATGTGCCCTGACCAGGAACTGAACCCGAGAGCTCTACGTGCATGGGTTGATGCCTAACCACTGAGCCACACCAGCTGGGCAATGCCTCATACTCTTATACACAAATTATTATTTTTATTTTTAATTGATTTCAGAGACAGGAAGGGGGAGAGAGAAAGAGAGAAACATTGATGTGCAAGAGAAATACTGATTGGTTGTCTCCCGGATGTGCTCTGACCAGGGATTGAACCAGAAACTTTTGGGTGTACGGGAAGATGCTCCAACCAACTGAGCCACACCAGTAAGGGCTACAAATTATTTCTGAAGGTGATTGTTCTGGTTATGTCTTCTCAGTTTCTTCCTTTAGTTTTTCTGTCACACAGGTACATGGTATGCATTACTAACATATGCAAAGCAATATGACTTTTTTTTTTATCCTCACCAGAGGACATTTTTTGATATTTTGTTCAGATAGAGTGGGAGGGAGAGAGAGAGGGAAACATCGACATGAAAGGGACACATCGAGTGGCTGCCACGCGCACAACCCAATTAGGGCCCGGGACAAACTGCAACCGAGGTACGTGCCCTTAGCGGGAACCAAACCCGGGTCTCTCCGGACCGCAGGCCGATGCTCAAACCGCTGAGCCAAACCGGCCGGGGCTGTACTATGAATTCTTAGTCACTGTCACTTGTTTACCAGACTCTGAAAATCTCATTTGGTGACAGGTTCATGAGAGGTGGTTTTTACTTTGTCGCAGATAAACACCCTCACCCCACCCACATTTTAAATATTGAATATATATTTCTGATTCTACTACATGTGCTTTGAAAGATCATATTATTGCAGAGAAATGTAATACAGAAAGTGAAAGTTCCTTATAAATCCCACCCTTCAGAGGTGACTGCACTCTGATGCATATCTACCATATGGGGCAAAGTACCTATTTAATATACATCCTGGACAGAAAGTAGACATTCTGATTTTGGGGGGGGGGTCTTTCCAGATATCCACGCCTTTCTAATTTTATCACTGGCGGCCCCTCAGCCGCCTGCCTTCTGCATTGGTGCTGCCATTGTGCTCTCAGAGCTGTGTGTGTAATTGGGATAATGGAGATGGAACACCCTTATGTTGAATAAGTATTTCTTGAGTACTTCCTCTGCATCCCCAATTATATTTTGTGTGTTCTGCCTGTGATCCCTTCATGCTGACAAGCCTACTATGCCCTTTTCTTTTTTTTCTTCTTTATTGATTTGAGAGAGAGAGGAAGGGAGAGGGAGAGAGACAGAAACATCGATGGGAGAGAACATCGATTGGCCACCTACTGCATTGCCCCAAACTGGGTATTTGGCCCACAACTTGGGCATGTGCCCCGACTGAGAATGAAACTGGTGACCTCTTGGTGCAGGGTTGATGCTCAACCACCGAGCCACACCAGTGGGGATATGTCCCTTTTTTCTTTTTTTGTTTATCCTTACCTGAGGACATTTTTGCATTCATCTTCAGATAGAGTGGGAGGGCGAGAGGGAAGAAGAGAGAGAGAAACATCGATGTGAGACTCATCGACTGGCTGCCATCCACATGACCCCAACAGGGGCCAGGGACAAACCTCAACCGAGGTACATGCCCTTAGTGGAAACTGAACTTGGGCCTCTCTGGTCTGCAGGCCGATGCTCCAACCGCTGAGCCGAACAGGCCAGGGCTATGTCCCTTTTCTTTATCCTCAGCCAAGAATATGTTTATTGATTTTTTTTTTTAGAGAGAGAGAGGGAGGGAGGAAGGGGAAAAGAGAGAGAGAGAGAGAGAAACATCACCTCCTGTATGCACCCTGACCTAGCCCTGATCCCAACCAGGGACTGAACCCTAAACCTAGGTATGTGTCCTGACCGGGAATCAAACCCACAAATCTTTTTGGTGTACTGGAGGATGCTCCAACCAACTGAGCCACACCAGCGGGGGGCCTATTATCCTTTTTAAAACAGATCCCAACTACAACTCTGCTCACAGTAGCCGAAGGAATGGAGACTGAAGGCTGGACTTACTCACCATCACCATCTTTCATCTTTCCAGAGTATCTGCACAAACCTCTACTTTACCCTTCCGTTTCTTCTACCCACTTTCTGTCCTTAGTCCCTAGCTGTTTCCTTGGAAAACGTCTCTCCAGTGGGAGTGACTGCAGTGTGCACACTGACACATTGTCCCACGTGCTGAAGAAGTACACTACCTTACCCAGGTATGTCATTTGGTGCACAGTTGGAAATGGCTGTTCTAATTTCAGCATTGAACCCAGATAAACATTTGGACCAATAACCCAATCTCTGGAAGTATACTTTAAAGTGTCATGTGTAGGAAATATGAAAGAGTAATAATAAACTTTAAATATGCCACTTCATACATTTATCATCTGTCACAGCTATGTTCTATTTCTATGCGTAATAGACACTTTAAATTTATAGTTTGCGTTTATCAAGCCAACTTCTCCCCAAGCTCAAAATTCCCATGGCTGTAAATTTAGTCAACTCGAGCAAGCCAGTAGGGATTAAATCCTGAAGGAATTTCAAATGACTATCTTATTAGAGTCCTCATTTCAACCATTTCAAAAAAAAAAAAACAACGATGCTTTTCATCAGAATAGGCTCTGGAAATCAAACTGGGTATTTTACCCAAAGAGGAAACACAATTTAAAGTTTATATTCTGGCTATTGGGAGGAAGAGCTGGAAAAACCAGCACATTTTACCCTAGTCTAAAACTGTTGTGAAGATGAAAAGAAATAGGAAGTGCCCAGCATGTGCAGCCTAGAGTATATGCTTATTAAATTACTGTTTACCCTACTTCTTTTGCAGAGGGTTGACAGGTCGTGTTTCAACCCGATTCAAATCCATGACGTTTTCACTGCCCTGTCCTCATCAATTGTGGACGGAAAGCACATTGTCCAGCTGCCTCCCTGTTCAAGAGACCCAGAATCCCCATTTTTAGGCACCCTTCCAGAGAAAGTGTGCATTTCAGGTTTCTGATTCTAGCCCGTTTTTCTTTTACCATTATTCCGGACAGGAGGTGGCCGGGAAGTACTTGGTATTCTGACTGTCCGCCACCCCACACTGAACGCTACAATCAAGCCGCGGGGTTTGGCACGGGCGCACGACGTCTCCCGGGGCTGTGGTCCTGGATGGCCCACCGTTCCGGAGTGCCCGCCGTGCCAGCCCTTTCCGGATCAGTTCTGCAAACGACGCTGGAATAACAAAACTCCCGGCGGCACGGGATGCCCGCGGGGTCGCAGCGGTCCCCCTCCGCGGACGCCTTGCAGCGGGCGCAGCGCGGACGGGGCCGGCGCGGGCTGCCCGGCCGGGGCGCGCGCAGCAGCGGCCTCCTCCTCCCCCGGGCCGGCGCGCACACCCGGACCCGGATCCCGGACTCCCTCCTCCGCAGCTTGGCGCTCTCCCGAGCCGGAGCCGGAGCCGGAGCCGCGGCGTCAGAGGAGGAGGGAGCGGGGGCGGGGGAGGGGCGGTGAGGTCAGCGGCGGCGGCGCGTCCGCGGGCGGCGCATGCGCGGAGCCAGCCCCGTGAGTGGCAGCGGCGGCGCGCGGGGGGCGGCGGGGCCCGCGGGTGGGGGAGGGGAGGGGAGGGGGCGGGGGCGTCGCGGCGGCCGTGTGTGGGCGAGACGGCGGCGAGTTTGAGAGGTCCGTGGTGCGGGGCGCCCGGGGGACCCCCGGCGCGGCGGCCACGGCCGTGCGTGTGTGTGTCGGTGTGTGCTGCACGCACACCCGCAAAACTTCCTCCTCCCCTGCCCGGGAGGGCGGGCGCTGAGGGGCCGGCGCTCGCGCAGCCCGGAACCCACAACAACAACTGGAGCAGCTGTCAAAACTTCGCCGCCGCCGCCCGGCCTGACGCGGCCCGCGCGGGGGAGGGGCAGCCGCGGGCGCGACCCCCACCTCCCGCCCGCCCCGCGCGCCCGCCCCGCGCGCCCGCGGCCCGGCCCCTTTCTCCTCCCCGCGGCGGGCGGCCTGGGGGAGGGGCGCGGGCGGAGACCCGGCCGGCGCCCCTCACCCCTCAGTTTCCCCGCCGCGCCCGCACCCGGCCCCCGCCCGCGCCCCGCCCGCCGCCCGCACCTCCCCGCCCGCCGGCCCCTCCCTCGCGCCGCCCGCCCCGCCCGCCGCCCCCCGCCGGCCCCTGCGCGCCGAGGTGCGCGCGCCCGCGCCTATGTGTGTGAGTGCGTGTCCTGCTCGCTCCATGTTGCCGCCTCTCCCGGTACCTGCTGCTGCTGCTCCCGGCGCTGCGGGAAATGCGAGAGGCTGAGCCGGGGAGGAGGAACCCGAGCAGCAGCGGCGGCGGCGGCCGCGGCGGCGGCGGCGGCGGGAGGAGCCCCCCAGGAGGAGGACCGGGATCCATGTGTCTTTCCTGGTGACTAGGATGTCGTCGGAGGAGGACAAGAGCGCGGAGCAGCCGCAGCCGCCGCCACCACCCCCCGAGGAGCCCGGAGCCCCGGCCCCGAGCCCCGCAGCCGCAGACAAAAGACCTCGGGGCCGGCCTCGCAAAGATGGCGCTTCCCCTTTCCAGAGAGCCAGAAAGAAGTAAGTTGAGTGTGAGGGAGCCAGGCCGGGAGCCAGCCGCGGCGCCGGGCCGGAGCTGTCACCGCGCGCCCGGCCCGCCGCCCCCCGCGCCCGCCGCCCCCGCCGCCCCCGCGGGGTGGGGGTGGGGCCGCCCGCCGCGCGTCCCCGGCCCGGCGCCCGCCCGCCGCCCTGCCCCGCGCCCCTCGCCGCGCCCGGGCCTCCCGCGGGCGCCCCGCACCGCCCGCCCCGCCGGGCTCCGCCGCCTCGCGCCGCCGCCGCCGCCGCCACACTTTACTTTTTAGTTGGGCCCTTGCGCCGTGCTTGCGGGGGGCCCCTCTTTGGGGCGCCCTGGTCGCGGACGCCGCCTGGCCTAGCCGGGTCTTTTAAAAAACAAACACGGCGGCACACCTGGCGGTGCCCGGGCGAGTTTATTGTCAACTACAAAGCGGCGCGCCCCGGGACGCCGGCCGAGCTGTCAAACGCCGCGGCCAGGTGGTCCCCCGGCCGGCGGGGGGAGGGGGCGGCGGGCCGGGACGCGACGAGCGCCGCTGTTCTTTGTCACCCTTCAACTTTTCGGGCTCCCAAACCTGCGCTTTCCTCCTTTCGCGATCTATTAGGAAGTCATTTGACTTCTTCCTCCCTTCCCCCACCCCGAGCCACAGCGCCCAGCACCCAAACGCACGACTCCCTTGCGATCGCCCCGCTGCAGGCGGCGCGTGCAGGAAGTTTGGGAAACGCAGGCCGATGCGCCGTGCACGCTTGCCCACGGGACGCACAGGAAGCGCCGCCGAACTTCCATGGAAGTTACTGGGTCAGGGACGGCCCTCGGTGGCTTTGGAACGCGCACCAGCGCTGTGTGCCTTGGCTTACTCCATTGCTAGCGTTGGCTCTTTACGGAACGGCTGTGCGGCAACTTTGCCTGGGGATGAAGACACCCGTTTTGGTGCCAGTGAGTCGCGCGGCCCTTGTGGCTCTTGGTGCCAGGGAAGGTCTGGGACTGTCTTCTGAAGTTGTAGAATGGCGTGTGTCGCTTACTCATTTCACTGCACGACTCTCTCTACCCAACTGTTGGTGCTGGAAGGGTGCACGGGACGGAGGAAAGCTGCACATTTGTAGATACTGTATTTTGTTGTTTTGTACGAGTGAATTCACTAGTAACATTGTTGCGTTTGCTGATACTTAGTTAAAATAGCAGCAGAGCAGAGCAGGGTTGCAGGGACCCCGAGCAGCTCTCGATTGGAGTGCTTTTTTTTTTTTTTTCTTTCTCTCTCTCTCTCTCCCTCTCTCTCCTATCCTTGGACTATGAAAACAACTCAGGGCCTTCTGCTTGCCTCCATATTTTATTACCAGCTCTTACTGAGCTGTGACATATCATGAGGGAAACAAGTACAGGATGTCTATACTATTTCATTAGCTTCTTTGTGATACAAAGTTAGGGAGGGTTTGGTATGCCATTTGCATTGTAATGCCTGGTGTATAAAAATCCCATTATTATTCCTGTATTAATTGAAATTTGAAGAAGGGAGGTGGAGTTTGGAGTAACTTTAAACTTTTTGTACACTCAAAAGCCACACATACCAAGTCATATTAGGGTTTTTAAATTTGATTGCTTCCCATTTTCACTATTTGGAAAGCACCTCTTGGCTTCTTTCTGAACATTAATTTGGGATTAATGTGTGTTTAAGGTTTCTTTTTAAATTCTTACTCTAGAAAGACTAGACCCATCTATTATTGTCAAGCCCCTGTCTCATACACATGGCAAGTGTGAGGGCACACACATTTGCGAGATTGAAATGAGCTCGCATGTGTTAGTGCGACTTCTACGGCATCAGAAGAAGGGTTGATTTGGGGTATATTGCCACTTTATTGTTTTAATTTCTGCAGAAGACACCAATCTAATAGTATAAAAACATCAACGCTTTGGAAAATGTTTAGAACCATTCTAAGTCTCAAGAGAGGTGTTTTTTTTTTTGTTTGTTTGTTTGTTTCCTCTTTCTCTCTCTTAGATTTGAAAGCTGGTACAGCATTGCTTATAGGAAATTAAGCCAGTGGTAACTTGGTCGGTTCCAAACTTTTTAATGAATCCTTTAAAATTAGGTGTCTTTTGAAGAGGATGGGATCTCCAGTTGTTTTAGAAACGTGTACATGGAAACGAATAAGTGAAATGAAAGCAAAGAGCAGGGTTTTCAGCTGGGTAGTTCTACACAGTGTTAGGATATGTACTTGAAGAACAGACCCTGTATTTAGTTGGATATTGAAAACCTTGAAAGTGAAACTGATACACAGCAAATGTGACTTGGGTTTGTAAAAGCTAAAAGTATTTGCAAATTCATTATGTAAGAAATGAAAATTAATATTCTTTGAGAAATGCGGTGGAGATAAAGGTTTTTAAATTGTCAGTGTTATTTAGATGTCACTAAGTGGGTGGTTTTCTGTTAGAGAAGATGGATGCATCATGACGCTTTTTTAACGATGGATTTGTGTATTGTTGGATTAGAAAAATGTAGTTGTGTACTGCTAATTACACTTTCATAGAGTTTGAATTTTTAATAGGCAAACAAATTAAACATCTTATTTTATAATATTAGATAACTTATTTTTGGCCAGATCTTGCTTCAGGTGTATGTAATATTAGATAATTTTTATGTTTTATCGAAGTAAAAAAGCACAGACTATGTAGTTACTGGTTTTACATGAACTATTATTACTTTAAAATTATGTTGACTACCTAAAATCAAGAATTTTGAACTGAAGCTACTAAGTCTTTGAGGCAGAATTTGAAAAGTAGGTATATTAATAGGAATTGCCTGTAGTACTAAAGTCAGGTGGAACAGTGACATTGACATTTGTCTAAAAGTTTTTCTTAATTGAGGGCTATCTAATTATTTGGTTATTTGGAGTAGCTCACAGTCTTTAGTAGAGAGGCACAGGTCTTCCTGTTGGTGAAGAAGCCCCTGCAACAGGGCAGGCACACTCTAGAGGTCTGACCACTGTTCTGTTTAATGCTGAGGATACTCTTCCTGAAGCTTTGACTTTTTTTTTTTTTTTTTCCTTCTTAGACTATATAAGGGAAGCCAAGAAAATATTTTACCATATTTCTTACCACATCAACAAAAGTTGATATTAGGGATGGGGTGGGTCTTGGGGTGGTACCGAAACAGCAGGTGGTGGGGATAGGATTTCTGACACACTGTCCTTGACCCTTTGCATATAAACTCTTTATGCCCTGTACCACAAAAGGACAGTTACTGTTACTAGAAGGCCACCTTGAGCATTATTGCTGTAGAAAAATTAGGCACAACTAGTGATGTCATACAACAGATCAAAATGTAGCTGTGCTGCAGGCAATGTGAGACCCCTCCCCCAACAGGATTTCTATTTCCATACCTGTGAACTTGGAATAAGTGATTTAAAAACTCCGTTGCACTATAATATATGCAGTTTCATAAAACAACAGTTTGTGGTTGAGAGGTATCATGATCATTATTTATACTCTTTGAGATAGTGCAACTTTGTAACTTTTATGATAGGAATTTTTATTTTATTTATTTTTTATTTATTTTATTTTTTTAAAAAATACCTTTTTATTGATTTTTTTTTTTTTTTTTTTTTTAATCCTCACCAGAGGACATTTTTCCATTTTTTGTTCAGGTAGAGTGGGAGGGAGAGAGAGGAACAGAGAGAGAGAGAGAAACATCGATGTGAAAGGAACACATCAAGTGGTTGCCACCCGCACAACCGACCAGGGCCGGGGACAAACTGCAACCGAGGTACATGCCCTTAGCGGGAACCGAACCCGGGTCTCTCAGGACCGCAGGCCGACGCTCTAACCGCTGAGCCAAACCGGCCAGGGCGGAATTTTTATTTTAAAAGAAACTAGATAAATGGAAATTTTCAGTAATTACTGATCTCTGGCACTTAACTAGGCACTGAAATGTTTTTGTTTTGTTTTTTTTAATTTTTATTGTTGGAAGTATTACAGATGCACCCCCTCCCCCCCTTTCCTGTTGACCTCCTCCTCCCGGCTCCCACTGAAATGTTTCATTTTGTTGGAAAAGCCGGTCCAGGAACAGCAGCCGGTAGCTGTCTAACCTGACTTCATCATAGTTCGCCCTGTTCTTGTTTTTCTTATTCATGGCATCTCCAGTCTTTGAGAATATGATGTTTTAAGGGTAATAATAAAATTTTTTTTTCTTCCTTTTTTTTTTGTTCAGATAGAGTGGGAGGGAGAGAGAGGAAGAGAGAGAGAGAAATTGATGTGAAAGGGACACATCGAGTGGTCGCCACCCGCACGACCCAACCAGGGCCGGGGACAAACTGCAACCGAGGTGTACATGCCCTTAGCGGGAACCCGAACCTTGGTCTCTCTGACCGCAGGCCGACGCTCTAACCGCTGAGCCAAACCGGCCAGGGTGTACTATAGAATTTTTAATAAGTAAAGTGTATTGGTGGTTATGAATATGTAAACTTGATAAACAGGGGCTCCCATGTAAATTTAAAAGTCTCAAGTTTATTTTCCTGATTTAATTCTGCCGGCCCAGATTGTAGTCAATTTGCACAGTGATGAGGCCCATTGCTCCACCCTCTACCTTTCCCCTACCTGTTTGTAAAACTGCACAGCTGTCCCCGGCCGCAATCAGATTTCCTCTGGGCAAACAGCGCTTGTCCAACCTTGTGTTCTGAAGCCACTGACTGTAATGCCTGAGGGGTGTCCGTGGAACCTCATTGTCCTTCCAAACTGAAAATGGTCAGTTTCTGGTTTCAGAGAGAAACTTGGATGCTCTCTGTGTGCGCTTTTCATGTTGGGGACAGGTGAGATCCCTTGACAGGATTTGATAAAGTTTTTTAATCTGTGAGACGTTTGGACTGAACATAAACTGAACATAGCTGATAGAGAATAGGCTTTCCAGTCACTATGCGTGTGTGTCCCTTTTTTTTCTTTATTGTTTGGACTGTCCTTCCATTTTGACACACATATTAATCCCTTCCCTCTTTAAAATTTTTCTTTATCATGTCTGTGC